TGTGATCGAGTTTGTGTCAAGCTTTTTCTCGAGGCAAGTGTCTCAACAGCGACTCACCTTTGGCGATCCTTTTGTTGCAAAGAGAACCCTCAATTATAGGGCTTCAAACGGTACGTGGGCATGGCTACATGCACAATCCAATAAAGTTGTGCCTTTTTTCTTTTTGATAAGTTTTGCTACAAGACACTTTTGAGAATTTTGAATAATTTACCGGTGGACATCGTAAAAACATGTTATAGTTGAATAATATGTTAAAAAACTGATAATTTGCTAGAGTATATATTTTAGCCTGATTAAAAAGAAAAATTCTTAAAAGAAAAGATGAGAATATCCTTAGGGCTAAAATATCTTTTAACCTAAGGCTGACGAGAACATGGAATATGATGCATGTTAGCGATGTACTTTAGGTAATGGTAGATTTTATAATTGTATAGTTTCTAAATTTTCACTACAACACCATGTTAGAAGCACGTGGCCCCAGGGTATTCTCATATATTTGAAACTTTTCTCATTTTAATTCGCCCGAAAGTGTCCTCCAATAAATTATCAATTTTCAAGGTGTCCAGCAGCAAACTGCACAAATTTTAGACGTCTTCTAGCAAATTTTGTTTTTTTATGGGGGCAAATGGTGGTTTTGATTTTAATACGGGGGAAAATTATATTGCCATCCTGGGCTACCAAATAAGGTCTTTATGCGTGCGGTCAACTCGTGTTAATTACTTTTGGCCAAATTAACGAGAAATGATATGGTCCGCCAACTTTTCATCTCGGTCGTGACTAAAGATACCACTATATGGTAGATCAGTTTGATCTTGCACAGCAGATTTGGTAGTTCGATCTCATAGACAAGGTGAGTTATTATAGGATGCTCCATATATATAAGTGATTTACAAATCTCTTAATGAAAACCTACAATTAAAACAGAGTTAAGTGAGTCGGTCGTCGTTCGAACCACCACCACAAACACTTTGTCTCTTGGGATCTAATCACTTCGTCGTATAATTTATGTAACTACCTGTCTTAATAAGAGAGAGGATCACATACGTAATTCCTTTGTAGTCCATTATCTAAAAAAAATCCTTTGTAGTCAAATTTGTTAAAGTGGATATTTTTTTTATTTGTTGATACTTTCGGTAGAAGGAAAGGGGATGGGTAACAAGACGAGGGCAACATGTGAAGCCGTATATCTAGATGAGGGCAACATGTGAAGCCGTAGGCAAGAATGTAGAGGACTATGTGGTCAGGTGGCGGCCAGTGGATCAGGCATCTATCACCAGCGGAGATGAATTACGGAGATGTCACCATGGAGGTAAATGAAAAGAAGAAGGGGCTGAGTGTAACAACACGTCCTCCCGAACTGCACAACCCGGCCTATTCGATGGGTGGACCCATTTACACTTTCGTTCTCGTTTCGTGTGAAAAAATTAACATGGGAGTAATATGATTAGAAGGACAAATCCTTATAATTTGGTTTCACCAAAGTTAAACTAACAAATGTGGTACTGATCATGCGAAAAAAAAATTCTGCCAATTGATTAGTTGGTTAAGCTAGGTTAGTTTCAGATGACATGAACATATGTTTAGCAAGAATATGGCAACTAATCCCTGATCAAAAGCAGCAAAGGGTTGTTACCGTAGCCATAAGCCCATATCAACTACACTTTTCTTTTCCTTATAGAATACTGAGTTTTATTTGATAATCATGTGTATTTAATTTTTATACATCATTAGGTGGCTAACATTTCAATTTAAAAATTTGAATATCTAAAATACTAGTTAATACTTGCAAAAGATAGATAGTTTGTTGCTCATTTTGCCGTAATCTAGCTTTTTGTGTATTTTGTGGTTTGTCTGCTTTTACCTCGAATGGTATTATCGCTGCTTATTATCTGTTTGCTCATAAGGGTAAATTAAAGTGAATAAATATACCGGTTGATCTTTTAAATTACCATGTGTTTTTTCCGTTGATATGATATATTACCTATTGGGAACCTTGGAATTCACATATACTTTTTACGGCATTTTTTAATCAGAATCACTTACAAAATTGTCCCTCGTACTTAAATCCTGGCTTCACCACTAGATTGACAGGGGTTCATGGGTGGCAAAAGGTAGAATACAAGGTTTGACGAGTGGCCGTACCAGCTAGGAGGAAAACCGCGCCGGGGAGAGAGTATGGGACAAAATAGAGTTTTGAAAAGCTGCACGAATCTAAAATCGATATATAGAATCTTCAAAACGATCAATAGATAGTAAAAAAGGAATAAACAACCTAAAATTATATATACAAGGGATTGTCTATCAATCAATCACCTTATTTTTGGCTAACTATCTGCATATTTTGGACGGCTTGCATTACTTCACAATTCATGCTAGCGCATAACCATAATGCTCACATCTTCTTTCACCCTAAACAAATCCCCTAGCTGCGTCATGAGTTTGCGACTACGAAACACCGCATGTACTCCACTCCCTGACCCTCCGTGCATTGTCTCCGCGTTGCCAGCACCAATGATGCCCATTGGCCTTGCCCTTCCTCTGCCTTTCCTCCTTTGCGTCGAAGCCATTGCTCCGTCTTTATTAGCTCCTGTGTGTGTTTCCCCTGCTCCACATTTACTTCGTCATCTTCAACGACTGCCCCTACCTTCTAACCACATGTACTCTCTCGCCCATACTATCGACCCCACCCAGTGTCGTCCATCCGCACAGCTCATACGTTGCCGCCTCTCCGCCCTCCCATCTCCGCTTCCCACTACTACCCTGGCCTTCCCTCTAAACCCTCCCTCACCATCCCCTACCCCCTCCTACCTCCTCCTAAACCCGAAAACCTAATCTGGCGGTCCTTGACAGAGATACAACATGTCGCCATTACTGTGAAAGACGTCTCTGCATCGGGCTTGCCGAGGAAGTTGCTGTCAATATCGCTGGTGAGTCCTCCTCACCATCTCTTTGCCTTCACCTAGCTGGAAGTAGAAAATGACAATTCGGCCATTGGATCAAAATCTAGTTGACTAAGGTGTGCAAACCCCCGCGTCGCCCACACGCAGGCGACATAGGGGGCGAACCCCACCGCTGGCACCGACCCCCCTCGTCTCCCCTCACCTCACCGCCGGCAAAGCTGGCTGGCGAGCTAGGAAGGCGGCGGCGGGGCTTTCTCCGCGGTGGTGCCCCCCTCTCAGGCGTAGGGGAGGTGGAGATTTTCGCCGGCGGCCAGGAGTGGCGACGGCGAGGGATCCCGGCCAGGCGGCGGCAGATCTGGCACCGCCGTCACCGGATCTGGGCAGTGCGCCTGCGGCGGTGGTGTCGTGGGGCGGTGCGAAGCGGAGGAGGCGCGGCTGGAGGCGACCGCTGCGGCGTCTGGTGGCTTGTGAGGCGGCGGGGCCGTCGCAAAGGCGGCTTGCGCAGCCGTGCAAGGCGGCAGACACGCGCGGTGGTGCGGGCGCCGGTGCGTGGGCGGCGGATTGCCGATGTCCGCGTGGCGGCGTAGCGGCGCCAGTCGGCTTTGGTGGTCGGTCCTCCGGGGCTCTCGCTGGGAGTCGGCGAGTCTGGCCTCCGGTCACCTCTCCCCGTCGCCGGCATCTGCAGACGCCGCCCCTACAACCACCCTTTTCTTCTTCCTTGGTGCCCTCCTCCTTTCTCTGTTCCTCTCTGTGTTGTCTCTCTTCCTCCGGCCACCCTTCGCCGGTAGCTGTTGAATCCCGCTCCCCCATTTCCTTCCTCCCCCTCCCCACATCCCTTCCTCCCTTCCTCTCGCCAACACTCCTTAGTTGCTCTTCTGCTCACCCCAGTGTCCCCCTCTCTGCACTGGTGGTAAAGTTGGTGGTGGTTGCTGCAGTCGTAAGAAATGTCCTGCAATAGCCGGAGTTCCTCGCCGGAATCATGGAAGACAACGTGGTCCTTGTTGCCCCTGACTTCAGCTCTCACGTCCTCCTCATGGCGGCCACGGCTCCTTTCACTCCTTTGGGCTCCTCCCTTCTTTTGGCCGCCTCCACCCGGCCGTGGAGCCTTTCGGTAGTTGAGGAGAAGTGTTCAGCCGTGCTCGTGGTTCAGTCTGTCTGTTGTTAGGGCTCTTGGGTCTCGCCGGTGCTTCAAGTGTCCTGTGTCTGTGTGAACCTGTCGTAGTGCCGAGTTTTGAGCATGGTGCTTGTCTTCTATGTTGCTAGAGTTTTTGTGTTAAGGCGGAGTCGGACCTGCTGCATTGGGTCCAGCCGATGAGCCGGGAAACGATAACACTTATCACTCTGGCTCTGGTTTCTAAGAGGTTCTACCCCTTTGAGGGAGTCTTAGGCGAAAGCCTTATCTGGTCTTCCAGGATCGGCAACATCGAGGCCTGCGGGCGCTGTTTCCTCCTTAGAGGTGTTGCATTGTGGACTCTCTCCCCCTTCGGGTGAAAAGCCCAATCCTTTGGGCGAGCGTCGGCAACGGCTTCTGTCATTGTTCACCTCCTTGGAGGCTTCGCTTTGAAGGTCTTGCTCTTTCTTTGGTCACTTCTGTGGTTTGTAGTTTTGTCGCAGGCTTTTCGTGTCTTCTGTGTAAGGTTTTGCCGGTTTTCCTTTAGCAAACTGTGCAGTTATATGATTTTTGGGCCCGGTTTTCCTTATAAACAGGGTCAACTCTCTTCTTCTAATATATCCGGTAGATCTCCTACCGTCTACTGTTTTTAAAAAAAGATTTTATTGAAAAAAAAGATGTCAGCACAAAAATCCAGTGGTTTTCGCCTCTTTGAGCGAAGGCACATTCACGAGTGTATGAGTGGTATTACAAGTGTAGTGATGTATGCATGTCTATTGTATAATCGCAAAAGAAAAAATAATATCGCGTACAAAAAATCTAACAGACCTTGTGACTTCATCACACAAACGGCCAAGCTCCCAGGATAGAAAAGAGGATAGAGAGAGACAGAGAGAAAAAAAAAAGAAGAGTAGAAGAAAAACACCCATGGTTTACTGATCCCGTTTGCTGCTACTCCAGTAGGCTACAGCAGTCAGGTCTCGCTCAGCTCGGGTGGCATGGCATCGCATCGCAGGAGGCATGTTTGTTCCATCCCTCCATTTCGCGCGCGAGCGAAGCCGAGCATCAGCATCTCTCTCCCCTTCTCTGCCTTTTGTGTCATTTGCCCCCCCTCTGACACGGCCCCATCCCCCCGGCCCTCTGCCATTTTGGCTTTGCCCCCGCGTGTGGTGTGACTGCGCGCGCGCGCGGCCAAGACACACAGAGAGAGAGAGAGAGAGAGAGACTAGACTCTAGTCTCTAGAGAGAGAGAGTGAGAGGCAACCTGCCACTGCTAATGCCAATGCCAAGCTGCATGCTGCTTTGCTTTCCTTGGCCTCACGCTTGTTCCATGTTAGTTCGAGCGCACACACACAATCACACATTGCACGCGCAGACGCAGCCACTGCTTCTTCTTCCTCCTCTTCTCCCAGGAAAGAGCTCACCTGACCTGACCACCTGAGGTTGTAGTTGCTGGTTTGCTTGCTAGCTTCGTCGTCTCCTCCTACCTGAGCTCAGCAATGGAGCCGCCCTTCTTCCTCCTCCTGCTGCTGCTCGTGGTCTCCTCCTCCTCCCCTTCCGCCGCCCTCCTCTCCGCCAAGGGCGTCAACAACGAAGGTAAGGTTCAGTTCAGTTCATCCCTTCCTCTCTCTTGTTTCCTCTGATCGTTTCTTGCATTTGGGCGTGTGCTGATTGATTGATTGGCTGGTTGATTGGCAGTGCAAGCTCTGATTGTGATCAAGAACCTGCTCAAGGACCCCCATGGCGTGCTCAAGAGCTGGGACCAGAACTCCGTCGACCCCTGCAGCTGGGCCATGATCACCTGCTCCCCGGATTTCCTCGTCACTGGCCTGTATGTTAGCTCTCACCTTCCATTGCTTCACAGTATCAATCTCAATCTCACCTCTCTTCTCTTCTCTGCTGCTTGTCTGAATACTCTGAATGTTTTTTCAGGGAAGCTCCAAGCCAGCATCTCTCTGGCCTGCTCTCACCAAGCATCGGCAACCTGACCAATCTTGAGACTGTGTCAGTAGTGTTCTTTCTTCTTCTTCTACTTCACATCAATCCATAGCCTTATCATGGTCAGTTCTTGTACTTAAACAGAGTGTCTCTTTTCTTTGATGTGCTGGTGGGTGCAGTCTCCTGCAGAACAACAACATAACCGGGCCAATCCCAGCAGAGATTGGCAGGCTGGAGAACCTCAAGACGCTTGATCTCTCCAGCAACAGCTTCTATGGCGAAATCCCCAGCTCTGTGGGCCACCTCGAGAGCCTCCAGTACTTGTGAGTCGAGAGCTCCACTGTTCAAAGCCTCTGAATACTGTTCCATTTATTTTGTAGTAAAGATAATTATAAGCACACTGTTCTTGATTATGATATCTAGATATGTAGCAGTATCATATCATATCTACACATAGTTATTGTGGTTGTTCTCCGTTTTTTTGTTGCCATGTTAATTAAGTTTGAGTTAACTCTGTTGCTGTGAAATTTGATCAGGAGGCTCAACAACAACACCCTGTCTGGTCCATTCCCTTCTGCATCAGCTAACCTGTCACACCTTGTTTTCCTGTGAGTAAATTCATCTCAGTTTTGGGTTGTTGCAATTAAACAGTTCGATTTTGTCTCAACCTGCTTACTTGTGTCATTTATTCAGAGATGCTTTGTCTTGCCCTGCTCTTTCTTGAGCTATATTAACTTATTCTTTTAAGTGTACTATTCAGTTTGGTTTGTCTCATCACTCTGCATACACTCGTGTTCTTCTTCAGAGATTTGTCATATAACAACCTGAGTGGCCCGATTCCAGAATCATTGGCAAGAACTTACAAGTAAGGCTGCAGTTTCAAGTTCATCAATTCTTCCAACAAGAAGAAAAAAAATCTTCCAATTTTTTTTGGTTCATCAACAATTGCATGGTTTTTTTTTTCTTGCAGCATAGTGGGGAATCCCCTCATCTGCGACGCCAACAGGGAGCAGGATTGCTACGGGACGGCGCCGATGCCGATGAGCTACAGCCTGAACGGCTCGCGGGGCGGCGCGCTGCCGCCGGCGGCGAGGGACAGGGGGCACAAGTTCGCCGTCGCGTTCGGCTCCACCGCCGGCTGCATGGGCCTCCTCCTCCTCGCCGCCGGTTTCCTCTTCTGGTGGCGCCACCGCCGCAACCGGCAGATCCTCTTTGACGTCGACGGTAAACCTCAGTCTTTTCTCGCAGCTAACCTACCTGCATTTCATCATCCATAATTCTTAGAGAAATTATTTTCAGGCCTTTGTCTAGAGTTTTATTGTGGATTATTTGCTCCACGCTTCTTTAAAAAAACGATTTTTCGTAAAAAAAAGACTATTTATTCTAAGCTTTTTGGTACCTTGTAATACCTTAATTTTACGCTAGGGCCTTCTTCGAAGTAGGGATGAAAATGGAGCGGATAGTTTCCGTCCGCTCCGGACAAAAACGGATACGGATACCTTTCGGATCGGATAATTCTCGGATATTTCGGATACGGATACGAATACGGATATTTTCTCCCGGATACGAATACGAATATGGTATCAGGTTTCCGCCGGATACGGATAATAATTCGGATATCCGGTGAACAGTGCTATTCGGATATCCGCAGGACCCATGAGACATACCCTATTTCTTTCTAACTCTATAACCTTCAATATACCTTTATAGATTTTAATAGTAGTTTATCTCTTAACACTAGTCCATACTATTAATATTATTTAAATTTTAAAAAATATTTATAAATTATACCTCATTTTATATAAAATGAGCTAATTATATATGTTGATATTTATTTCTATTAGAAGTTGAGTTGGTTTTCGTGTTCCGAGAAAAATTTGTTTCCGTATTCGTGTCCGATCATATTCGATTCTTATTCGTATTCGAGATAATCCGTATTTGTTTCCGTATTCGTTTTCGTATCCGGTAAAAAATATGAAAACGAATATGGTATGAACATTATCCATCCGTATCCGCTCCGTTTTCATCCATACTTCGAAGTCGATGGTAACCTCAATCTTTTTCCAAAACAACCTGCATTTCGTCATTAATTCCAAGAGAAATTATTGTCAGCTTTTGTCTAAGATTTTTGGTACGGATTATTCGCTCCATGCTTCTTAGATTTTTTTTTAAAAAAAACTTCTGCTGTCATATTCACCTGTTCTAAACTATTGTGAAGTTTATTTCTCAAAATATTGATTTATTGTGTTAAATAAGTATAAAAAATCTGCCTCAATAATTCACGCAAAAATCGTATTTCAAATAGGGTGTACACAACATTTTAATATAAAATTTGATATCTCATGACATCTGAATAATAAAAACCCACCAACATTCACGCTAGTGGTACCTTCCAAAGGACCATAAATTAAATCACTCCAATTTTGAATTCAGACAAGGGGTATTACATCTCTAATAAATTTGAGTATTAATGTTAATAGACTAGTGTTGTTGGTTTTGGTTGGGAAAAAAAATAAAAAATTGCAGAGCAGCAGATTGAGAACGTGAACCTGGGGAACGTGAAGAGGTTCAGCTTCAGGGAGCTGCAGGCGGCGACGGAGGGGTTCAGCGGGAAGAACATCCTGGGGAAAGGAGGGTTCGGGAACGTGTACAGGGGGCAGCTCCCCGACGGGACGCTGGTGGCGGTGAAGCGGCTCAAGGACGGCAACGCGGCCGGCGGCGAGGCCCAGTTCCAGACGGAGGTGGAGATGATCAGCCTCGCCCTCCACCGCAACCTCCTCCGCCTCTACGGCTTCTGCATGACCGCCACCGAGCGCCTCCTAGTCTACCCCTTCATGTCCAACGGCAGCGTCGCCTCCCGCCTCAAAGGTAACCAAACCAAATTCGTAAATTAATATTTCTAGTACTGTATCTATTTTTCTTCTTAAGATTATGAATTGCTCTTTTTTATCCTAAAATATATAACAATCCAGTACGAGATGAGATACATCATAATAATATGAATTCAAACAGATTTTCTGTTTAGATTCGTGATGTTAGGATATGTCTCATCTCAGTACTAAGTTGCTATATTTTACTCTCTCTATTTTAAAACAAAGTAAAATAGTACGAGATGCGATACATTATAATACTATAAATTGAAACAGACATTATGTTCAGATTTGAAGTATTATGATATATCACATCTACTACTAGAATTCTATATTTTAAGAGATAAATTTTACCATTTTTGAGAGGTATGAAAATGTACCAAAATTTATTGCAAATTTCCGTAACTCCTAGGTATATATACCAAATTTTACACTGAAAAATATAGTACATCTCAATATCTCATTAAGAACAGTAAAATAACTCATTTTGAGAGAGAGGCAGTACAAGATTCAGACAATGACCACGGAGAAAGTCCGGTAGAATTCCTCCAATCTGCTGCAGCTCGAATGTTCTTTACTCGATATGACAGCAGAAATCTGAGTGGAACAGCAGCAGCAGCATATGTTCTTTGCTGGATTTTTCATATCATACCGGACCTAAAAGAGAGGTGCAGAATCGAAAGACTGAAGCTTTCAGTTCAGGCCGGCAAAGAAACAAGTGGAGCATGATAAGAGCTCGGAATTGGATTCCATTGCCCTGAAAGATAATTAAAAAAAGGAGACTAAATTTATCTATCACGACGAGAAGAGAAGAAGAGGAGAATGTGATTCCCAATCAGACACAAAAAAAACTCCAGCTTTATTCCTTCCTTTCCGACTGCACTCACCCACTTTGAATCTCTGACCAAATGATGATGATGAATTGATGTGGTTTCCCTTTCAAAATTAACTTGCAAACAAATTGTGACGACGACAGACGCCATTGATGTGCTTCCGTTCGCTGAGGGAGCTAGGATGTGATTCTCAATTAGATACAACCAAAAAAAAAAGAAAAATCTTTGGTTTATTCCTTCCTGTCCGAACTCTGAAACTCTGAATTCTCTGACCAAATGACGGTGATCGGTGCATGAACAGCGAAGCCGCCGGTTTCAATCCCTGAAGTAGAATGTGATTCTCAATCAGACACAAACAAACACAAAAAAGTTCTTTCCTTTATACCTTTCTGTCCGAATCACTCCCTCAATCTGAAACTCTGAATTTCTCTGACCAAATGATGGTGATCGGCGCCTGAACAGCGAAACTGCTGGTTTCTTTTTTTTTTTTTTCGAACGGTCGGACCGTTGCCAACGTTTTATATTAAGAAGAAGATATCCCATTTTAAGGAGAAAACAGGATCAAACCTTACAATGCTCAGTTAATTAGGGAAAACTGAGCGAAAACCACAGCTACAACACCACACCAACAGCTAACCTAACTTAAGCTACCACGACGGAGCCCGAAAAACCGCCGGTTTCAATCCCTGAAGTAGAGTGTGATACCCAATTAGACACAAACCAACACCAAAAATCTTTACCTTATACCTTTCACTCCCTCACTCACTCTGAAACTCTGAAACTCTGACCAAATGATGAATGATGACGATGATGAACTGACGACGCGGTTCCAAAAACTAACCTGGGCAGATTAATGAAACATGCTACTATAAAATCGCATGCAGCGAAGCCGGCGTTGGAGTGGGGGACGAGGAGGAGGATCGCGGTGGGGGCGGCGAGGGGCCTGGTGTACCTGCACGAGCAGTGCGACCCCAAGATCATCCACCGCGACGTCAAGGCCGCCAACGTGCTGCTGGACGAGGCGTGCGAGGCCGTCGTCGGCGACTTCGGGCTGGCCAAGCTGCTGGACCACCGGGAGTCGCACGTCACCACGGCGGTGCGGGGCACCGTCGGCCACATCGCGCCGGAGTACCTGTCCACGGGGCAGTCGTCGGACCGGACCGACGTCTTCGGCTTCGGCATCCTGCTGCTGGAGCTCGTCACCGGCCAGACGGCGCTCGAGTTCGGCAAGTCGTCCAACCACAAGGGCGCCATGCTGGACTGGGTAAGTATTATTTTATACTATTATTAATTCATTCGTCAATTCGTTTGATTGATTGATTGATTAGCTTGTGCAATCTCGAGTACTCCCTCTGTCCCATAATACAAGGGATTTTAAGTTTTTGTTTGCACTGTTTGACCACTCGTCTTATTCAATAAATTTTGGAATTATTTTTTTTACTTACTTTATTATCCCAAGTACTTTAAGCATAACTTTTTGCTTTTTATATTTGCATAAATTTTTTGAATAAGATGAGTGGTCAAACAATACAAACAAAAACTTAAAATCCCTTGTATTATGTGATGGAGGGAGTAGTATAATTCTAATCGGTAGAAACACCTTCAAATTTAAGGGCGCCATGCTGGACTGGGTAAATATATGTGCTACTGATTTCAATTCGATCCGTTAATTCGTTTGATCGATTAGCTTGTGCAATCTGGAGTAGTATAATTCTAATCGGTAGAAACACCTTAAGATTACTCCCTCCATTTTATATTATGAATTGATTTGATCTTTTTTAAGTCGAACTTCAATTTGATCAAGTTTATGTAAAAACAAAGTAGCATTTTGAACACTGCACAAATATATTTGTCAAATTGTATTTAATGTTAGATTTAATAAAATTGATTTGGTATTTTAGATGTTGCTAATTTTTTCTATTAATTTAATCAAACTTAACAAAATTTGACTAGAAAAAGAGTTAAAGCGACTTATAATACAAAACGGATGAAGTAATTAAGAGTTAGAAGATGACACTAATACTTTCCAAAATTCTAAAAAAAATTGAGAATGTGTGATATATTAGGAAATTGCTAAAAGATTGTCACAAGTTCTTTTTGTTAAAAAACTTTCAAATGTAACTATTCAAGTATTATACCTTATTTCATTCTAGATGCTGCAACATTAAATTCAATCTAGGCATGGAGAAAAATAAAATCTCGGCTAGGAAAAACGCGGAACTATTCGCAACTTGATTTTGTTTTTTTCTCTCAGATTGAATTTTAGCCTCGCATTTTCAATACATTTTTTAGAGTGAAGTTCAGCACCACAATATATGTACTTAATTTTTTTAGATTGTTTTACTCATTTTTATAGGGAAATTTGTAAAAATAATATTCACTGAAATTTTTCATAACTATTCGAATAATCCCCATGTAAACCGATCAATCACAAAACTAAGATCAGCGGTGTGCTTTTCTATCGAAGATAAAAGATGAAGTTACGGTACACGAAATAAAAAACCATTTACTCCTGATTAATTAAGTTTCAGTTATTACAAACTTAAAAAATAGATTTATTTGATATTTTAAAATAACTAATATATATATAATTTTCACACGAAACCTACCATTTAACAGTTTTAAAAATGTGCTAACAAAAATGAAAGTAAAATCTACATCTTAATCCGAACACCACCAAATGTGATTGTGTGTTGTTGAGGGCATAATGTAGAGAAACTGTGACGATGATGCAAAGAAAAAAAATGCAGGTGAAGAAGATGCAGTCGGAGAAGAAGGTGGAGGTGCTGGTGGACAAGGGGTTAGGCGGAGGGTACGACCGGGTGGAGGTGGAGGAGATGGTGCAGGTGGCTCTCCTCTGCACCCAGTACCTCCCCGCCCACCGCCCCCGCATGTCCGACGTCGTCCGCATGCTCGAGGGCGACGGCCTCGCCGACCGCTGGGAGAAGGCCTCCGGCCACTCCACCGCCGCCGCCGACTCCCTCTCCCACTCCCACCGCACCTCAGACCCGGCGCCGCCCGCCGCCGACTTCGCCGCCGCCTTCGGCCGCTGCTTCTCCGACCTCACCGACGACTCCTCCCTCCTCGTCCAGGCCGTCGAGCTCTCCGGCCCCAGATAACACCACCATGATCGAGTAGCTGTGGTGTGTGGCTCTTCTTGTACAGCATGCTTGCATGGAGCTCTCTGTCTTTCTGTCTGAATATTAATGTAGCTAGCTAGGTTGGGAAATACTTCCCTGTTTCATATTATAAAACTTTTTAGCATTACCCATACATTCATATATATATGTTAATAAATCTAGATATATATGTATGCCTAGATTTATTAACATCTATATGAATGAATGTGGGCAATGCTAGAAAGTTTTATAACCTGAAATGGAGGTAGTAATAATTATATTTTACTAAGGTAATTACTAATTAGTGATGCGTATATATTTATATCATTTTAGATGAACTGTACAAACACAAGAGGAGAGGACAAGGACTTGTACTTTTCCGTGTCTCCATATATACTTGATGTTAATAATAGTAGAGTGTTATTATTGTAGGTTTAGTTATTAGTTGAAACAATATATATGACTGATTGTAAGTGAGATGCAGTAACAAGCTTCCACCTCTTGAAGCTTTTGAGGATTTTTCTCCTGCAGGTATGTATTACTGAATTCTTCTTCAATCTTCCTTTTATATAGAAAATCTAGAAGACAGGATCCCCTCGGAGGCACATGATAAATTAAGGGGTGAACACTATTTAAGTGACTTAGATCTGTTTATCTCTAGATCTGTTTCTCTCCCACCGATTCCCTTCATGTTCACCACCAAGCCAACCATCCACTCCATCATCCTCCTCCCTAATCACTAGAGGACCAACCGGCGTCTTCCTCCTCCCTCTCTCGACTCCTCAACCATCTTCCCAACATCGGTGGCATCCCCTATCATCTTTCTCCCATACTAACCCAAATTTAAGGGCATAAGAGAGAGTGGAGACTGGCGAGGGCATCGGGGATCATCAGAATCAGTGGGTCGGCAAGGAAGGAGTCAACTATGGTGGTGAGATCGGTGTTGTCATGTGCGAGGAGGAAGGAAAGGGAGGTGGCGAAGCGGAGGGAGACAAGGTCCGGGGCACCAACTAGAAGGTGGAGGCGGCCGGTCTTGGCGTGGAGGGCTCGGAGTTGACGAAGTGGATAGGAGAGTCGTCGAGTTCTTTGTGCAAACCTTGAGATTATCACACCGGTGACGCTGAAAGCTGTCATGCTCCTTGCTAGCCCATCGCTATGCTTGCTAGTGTTGTATGCATGTATGTCATAACTAATAGGTATCAGCTTTAGGGTCTGTTACATGGGTACCAGGCTTGGTACAATGGTACCGGCCGATACCCATAGGTATCGAATATAAGATAACAAGTACTTGTGAGTATCAAATTAATGCCTGATATTAGTTACCGGGTCAAGGCATGGGAAGGGGGAGCTCTAATACTTGTGAGTATGAGATGTCTAGCATCAAGTACCTGGTCTGGTACATGCAGATATCAACTATCAAGTACTAGATCAAGGCACAGAGGTAGGGACCACGTTGTTGTTGTTTGGCCGACCAAGGAGCCACGTACCGCCGGTGCCTCCTCTTCTTGCTGCTGTAACCAACGAGCACAAGGAGCTAAGGAATTGCTGCTACTTCCACATGCATGGGAGCTCGAATGTGCGGAGATGGGGGTGGGAATTAGATTCATTAAGTGTCTCGTCCGGATGGCATTCCATACTCTAGTAGTCCTTTTTATTTTTCTAAAGAGCGAAATACATGGACAGTCCTTAAACTTGTGAGGTGGTGTCACTTAGGTCTATAAACTTAAAAATTACATGTTTAGGTCCGTGAACTTGGTTTAATGTACCACCCACAGTCCAATTGTCCTTCGACCACGTTTGACCGCCAACGCGGCATGCCACGTAGGCAACACTTTTGTGCTTAGCCTCCTCCACATATACCTTCGCACATGGCTGTGGCGGCCTCGACGGTGAGATTAACGGCAGGAGGCAACGCAGTGTAGCGGGGTTAGCGGTGGCACAGTGCGGCCGGATTTGCGGCGGGAGGCAACGCAACACGGCTTGCACGCTAGGCATCCCCATGGATTCTCCAAGCTCGTCCTTGTCTTGAAGTCACCGAAAGAAGGCGTTGTTGATTAAGTGCCCGTTGCGCAAGGATAAGATCACTTTGGAGCGCAGAGCAATGTCAATTTCTAATCGGGATCACATTTTTCCATACATGCAAGGAGAAGAATAAGAGTGAAGAACGATTTGAGAATTTTTTTGGGATTCTGGTGTCATTATATAGCTACAAGGAGATATATGCGATATGTTGTGATGTCGAGGGGGCTGAGAGCAAAAGTGTTGCCTACGTGGTATGCCACATTGGCGGTCAAACATAGTCAAAGTAGACTAGGGTGATATATTAAACCAAGTTTACGGATCTAAACGTGCAATTTTTAAGTTCATGAACCTAAGTGACACTACCACACAAGATATGGGACTCACCATATATTTCACTCTTTTCTAAAACATGACAAGTTTATATTAAACAATAGAAGAGATGACAACCTTAACCATCTAGGAGTAATATATAGTACTATCCAGCTTGCTTGAAGATTAGTGTTTTTTTTTCTTGTCAACGTACACAATAGTTGGTGCACCAACCAAAGATGTTGCTAAAACCTCATCACAATTCATAATCCATTCCTCATCATGTATATAAATAAAAAGTTTGTGCAAAAGCCAGGAGTACCTTATCATGTGTATCTCCATGTAACATACTTGTAGAGTGATGACAAAATGACAACAACGCGTATTATATGTACCAGTACAAGGGCCTCATCATCAAAGCATTTCTTATTTCTATCTAGGACAAGCCAGCCATCAAATTAAAAAGAACAAATGTGCAGTCCTTTTGATTGAGCATGCATATGATCATGTGTTGACAAATCTGCAGTTCTTCCTGACCTCACCACCTGCAGGGTTGGTGATGTTGCCCATCTTGACCATGGAGTCGGAGAACTGCTTGAAGAAGGCGTCGGCGTCGGCCCAGTACTTGCTGACGGTGTCGGCCGTGGAGTAGCCGAGGACGCTGGACCACATCTCCTGGTCGGAGTTGAGGAGGCCCTCGCCGTTGACGAGGGTCCCGAAGTAGGCGTTGTCGAAGGCGGCGGCGGTGTGGCTGTCCATGGCGCTGATGTTGTCGTCGCCGCCGTCCAGGGGGCAGATGTCCTTGAGCTTGCTCAGGTAGGGCTGGGAGATCGGGCTGTACTTGGTCGTCATCTCGTAGTCGCCGTAGATCCTGTCCCGGAAGTTGGCGCACCGGGCGAATCCGATTGTGTGGGATCCTTCGATCAAATTCACAAATTCAACAAGGTTTCAGTTCACAATTTGAGGATTTGATTCATACTTGGGGGTCATCTAATTTCACTGGCATGTAAGTCAGGAGGGTGAATTCTCCATTTCAATCTAAAAGGAGGGGATAGGAGGGTATATGATCAAATTTCACCCTGGATATCACTTAGCTCTTTTCTGTTGCGGGCATGTCGTTTTTTTAGACTAGCCCTGTATATACAGCTGTGTACTTTGTTTCCTCTCTATTAATATACGAGGCAAAGCTTTTGCCCTCCTTTAAAAAAAAACCCTGGATATAATGTCAACTTTTCGAAAGTATTTTTCATGTATAAGGCCACTGGCAGGTGCTAATTTGAATTGAACTAATGATAGAATTGTAGCATTGAAGAGAGAAGAAGAACATACCGACAAGGGCTACCATGTCAGTGGCATCGAGGCCCTTCTCCCAGAACTTGGCAATGAGGGTGACAAGGCCCTGTTGAGCAGTGGGAATGTCCCTGTTTGCTAGGTCCAGGCTTGCCTTCTTGGAGTCCAATCTTCCAACTGGGACATCCCAGTAAGGCCCACCAACCTGCAACACAAATTTCCATTCTGTAATAACATTGATGTGGAATACGCACCGTTCTTTGATTGCTTGCAAGTTCTACATGCTGGCATGATTGCAGGCAAAACAATATGCTAATGGAGACAATGATTTTATGAGGTAATAGATAGTTATTGTGAAACGGGTGCTTGAATTTCTCGATGGTGTATTGAGTTATTCCTGAAATGTATGTCTGCCTGTTCATGTTTTCTTGAATAGAATGTCTAATATGAACCTGATAGTAGCGAAAATGAGCTAATGTGTTGCACAACACATGACAAACTCTGTCTGACATAAGTTACTGCTTATGAATCACAATTCTGAACATAGGTATCGTTAGGTTTACCAGCACAACTGCGTCCCTCGCTGCAATGGCAAGCAAGTCTGCACAGGAAACTGTTCCAGGGCACTCAGCTTCCAGCTTCTGCTTGATCTTGTCAACCAGCTCGAACCCCTTCAGCGAGTTGACATTCTGTTCTGCCTTCTTCTCTCCAATCAGGGTCGCAGTGTCGTCAAGCAGCACTGATCCATCGCAACCCTGCAACAGATATATTCACATTTTTTCAGAGAAAACTCTGCAACTCCCACTACGCACATTGAAGTTCAGATGAACAAGATTAGCATCTGTGCAAAGTAAAAGAGAGAAAATGGATTGAATGCTAACCTGAACGAAACAGTCATGGAAATGAAGACGAAGCATCAGAGCTGCATTGCGGGAATCCGCACGCACAGCACATTCCATCTCAGTCCGGACGACATGCTCATAATTCGGGCAGGTCTTTGAGTAGTGCTCCAAGCTCAGGCTTGAAGGGTCCTGAGCCACTAGCAATGGCACGGCCAGGAGCACACAAGCCAGGCAGAGAGCAAATTCCCTGGAGCACAGAACACCTGTAGCCATTTTCTGACCAAAAAAGTTGCAGCTGTTCCTTTCTTTGGATGATCCAGATGTTGTTGTGGGTAGATTCTCACACTCTGCATGGGCTTTATAGCAAAGTGAGGCGAGGCCTCCATGGTGATCAGTGATGGAAACGCGGTCAAGGAGGAGATGAACTAACTCTGATGTGGTTGGTAGAGTAAGCAAGCAGAAAGTAAAGAGTATTATGATATGGAAACTAATGGGTCAAAGGCTCTCTCTCTCTCTCTCTCTGCAGTAGTAGCAGTGTTTGGTGGCTTCAGGTTCACCAATCTTGGAAAAATGTTCAGAGAAGATCAGGTGCATCAAATTATTCTTCTCCCATGCATTTTATTAATCGTTTCTGGACGTTCCTGGTGCTGTCTTTGGCAGAGAAATTCAGACCTTCAACACTGAGTCACGGACCCAGAAATTGCAGCTTAAGAACCTATAGTTTTTTTTAAAAAAAGGAGCGCAAAAGCTTTGCTTTGTATATTAACTAGAAAAAATACCCGTGCGCTGCAATGGGTGAATGTTATTTTAATCTTATTATTGTTATGTGGATTAGCTACGATGAAATTCGCTGTGGGAATTCGCTTGGATATTTTTTTATAAAATCATGAGCTACAATTAGGAGTCCGACTTCCATCTCAAGTTAGCATGTGAGTTTTTTTAAAGAAATTTCTTATGCGACTCCTTTTTATATTTCCAAAAGCAAACGAACTTAAAATCCGACTCAAACATGGATTTGTATTTCCAAAAACGAACGAGCTTAAAAACCGACTTAAATACTGATGACGTACCAAAATTCCGGCAAAAACATCTTCAATTTTTATAACTAGCTGGGTGGCCCGCGCAATTGCGCGGCTAGCACCCATACAAAATTATATATTTTTTTAATATGATTTTACTTAAAATTTATTAAATATTTATCTCATTGTCTTAAGACTTTGAAAGACCAAACCTTACCATCCTTGTAATTCTAATTTTATAGTTTAAAAAGTTACACCAGCTACTACCCCTTACTTCTGTCATATCCTTATTTATTTGCTTGCTCGGTCTACTATTGTTTCTATTTATTCTTCTTGGAACCTTTAAAATTTTGATCTTATAGTTTTTAGAGTTTATTATCCTTGGTTTTGTTTTTATAATTTCTAGAAGTCCCATCAAATACTACCATTATACTCCTCTATGGTCGTCCACTGCCTCTTCTCTTTTCATTGATATTTTAAAAATCGAACATAATTATCGTTTAGGTTTATTTTTTTTACTTTTTAGAAGTTCCGCTAAAACGTCAGCGACTTTGTCATTGTACTCCTCTGCGGCTCGCCTGCTGCCTCTCTTTGTTATTATCATTGAGATTTTAAAATAAAAATGATTATCGTTGGTGTTTATCTTTTCACTTTTTAGAAGCTCGAACCTTTAAAAATTGGACATTATAGTTTTTAAAGTTTATTGTCTCGTTGGGTTTCATTTTATATAATTTGAGAAATCCCGTCAAACGCTGCCACTATACTCCTCTATGACCCATCCGCCGCCTACTCTTTATTGTCATTAGGATTGTCAAAGTCGAACATAACTGTCGTTGGAATTCATTTTTTTAAAAGAGGAAAGAGGAAACAAACTGCGTAGCCTTTGAGCTGCACAATAATCACTGGATCACTTCCCTAAGAACAATCACTTCAATAAATGAGATCAATGAGCTGGTGCACCTAGGCAGTAAGCTGCATGAGATCATATTACACCCCAATTCTTTGGATAGTATCACGTGGAAGTGGACTAATCATGGTGAATACTATGCAAAAAGCGCTTATGAAATGTAGTTTGTAGGATCAGTTGCCAACACAAATTTTATGCCACTTTGGAGAGCTGAAGCGGAACCTAAGCATCGGTTCTTTGGCTGGTTAATTTTACATCAAAGAACTCTCACAGCTGAAAACCTCCTTTTAAGACATTGGCCATGCGATTGGATTTGCAGCTTATGTACAGATGCTTTTGAGGACGCAAACCATTTGGCAAAGGAGTGCAGTTTCACTAACACGGTTTGGTCCCAAGTTTGTAGCTGGCTGGACATCATGCAGACCCCAAATCAACTACAGGATACAAACATTTTAGAATGGTGGACCTCAATCATACATTCAACTTATGGAAGGAGAAGAAGAAAACTGATAGGGGCACTTCTTATAACCTGGTGGCAGGTGTGGCTTGAGCGCAATCGAAGAATTTTCCATCAAAAGCAACTAAGTGCCACCCAAGTAGCTTTCTTAGTAAAGGAAATATAGATGCCATTCAGATTTTGCGCCATACATAAAGGCTTGTGCTTAGCTCTAGTTGATAGCATCATATATGTAAATCTCTGAAAATGAAAACTGAAAATGTCACCTAGTGGTCTGCTCTTTCTTGACCTCTGTAACTGCTTCTCCTTCTAATATATCCGGCAGAGCTCCTGCCGTCTTTTGCTTCAAAAAAAAAATTCATTTTTTACTTTCTAGAAGTCTCACCAACCATCGACGGCGCTGCCATTGTACTCCTATACGATCCGCCCGTTACCTCTAATTTTTACTGTCATTGAGATTTTAAAAATTGAATATGATTATCATTGGTTTTTCTTTTACTTTCTAAAAGTCCCGGGAACCGCCTTGACCGATTGTTTCACGACCTGCCCGTCGTCCTTCCTTTTAATCGTCTTTAGGATTCTATTTGGTATTTTATTAATAGTTTTTAGATGTCCCATCAACCGCCACCACTCTACTCCTTTATAAGCCTGTTACTTAATTAATCTTGTCATGTGTTTTAGATGGTCTTTTCTTTCAATAGTCTTTATTTTTTTACACCAATTTTAGTTATATATAAATTGTATTCCTAGTTGAAATCTTATTTTTCTTTTTCTAATTTCAGATTTTATTTACTTATTTTTCGAATTTTAACTACTATCGTTTGGGTTCTTTTAATTTTTTATTTTTGTTTTCAATTTCAGTTTTTCAAAATTGTATTCCTACTTGAACTCTCTTTTTAATTTGTCTAATTTTGGATTTTATTTTATTCTGAATTTTAATTAATCTCGTATTGGGTTTTTATATGTACTTTTATTTCAATATTGCTTGTACTTAATTCTGAATTTCAGTTAATTTTAAATTGTATTATTACTTGAACTCTTCTTTTCTGTTTTTTTCCTAATTTTGATTTGTTTTATTTTTTATTCCGAATTTTAATAATCTTGTATTGGGTTTTATATGGACTCTTCTTTCAATATTGCTTAATTTTAATTCCGAATTTTAGTTATTTTTAAATTGTATTTCTACTCGAACTCTTCTTTTTCCTTTTTTTGCTAATTTCATATTTTATTTTATTTTATTTTATTATTCTGAATATTAATTAATCTCGTATTAGGTTATTATAAGGACTCTTCTTTTAATAGTGCTTTTTTTTAATTTTGAATTTCAGTTATTTTTAAATTGTATTTCTACATGGACTCTTCTTTTCTTTTTCTCTGATTATTTCTTTTTTTCCCAGTAATATGTCGTGTAGGTGTTGATATCAAGATGAATTAATGCACGTGGCTTTAGCGGGACGGCAAGATTATTTGGGCTAAGTGAACTTGAGTCCAGATGGACTCTTCCATGGACTGTGCATCTGTTTTTTTTTCCTTTTATTCCACACCCAATCGGAAAACATCCTTGACCAAATAGTACTATTAGAAATCCAACATACATGTATGCTCATTATGTACGTGAAAGATTAGGGGTAACTTTTCTATCATGTATTGAGTAGACTTTGTTTCATATTGATAAAATTTCTAGTTATTTCCTAATTGTATTTTTATATGGACTATATACTCTACTTCTAATATTCCTTATTTTTAATTCCGAATTTCAGTTATTTTCTAATTGTATTTCTATATGGACTCTATACTCTACTTCTAATATTCCTTATTTTTAATTCCGAATTTTAGTTATTTCCTAATTGTATTTCTATATGGACTCTAGTCTCCTCTTCTAATATTCCTTTTTTTTTAATTCCGAATTTCAACTATTTCTAAATTGTATTTCTATATGGACTCTGCCTTTTCTTTTTCTCCGATTAATATGAGAATTTCTAGGCCATGAGAGCGAACGTGGAGGCTCCTTTTTCCATTCCTTTAATAATATAATAGATAGTAGAGATAGAGATGGAGAAAATTATACAACAATATGTACAGGGCTAGTCAACAACGACACACTTGGAAGAGAACAAAACTAGGTGATATCTCCCAAAATTCCAAACTCATGGAGCTTTATTGCTCCTGCTCTTACCCATGCTCTTGCTTCCTTCTTAATCTTAGCTAAGATTGATGCTATCATTGAGATGGTATTGCGGAAGATTCTTACGTTACACTCGCATCATATTTCCCATGAAACTAGGATCACCATCGTTTGGAGTGGTCGATGGGGGTTATTGGGGGCTTCAAGCACGAGATTCCACCAAAGCACAGTAGAGTGGCAGTCGTCCCATTTGTTCATTTGTAAGTCACTGCTGGTCCATCTCTGGATCTCGGCCCATATCCTCTTTGTGACTCTACATTTCGCCAATAGGTGGACCACTGTCTCATCCTGTACATAGCATAGCGGGCAGATGTCACAGACTAGAGAATTGGAAGGAGGAATACGTCGAAGATTATATTTGAAGGCGGTGGCAGGACGCGGCCCTGGACCTCGTCGGCGCGGCGGAGCTGTGATAGGCAACGCACGAACGCGGCAGGGGAAAATAGACTAGATTGATCTCAATTGCATGATTCTATTGCTTTGCCGCTAATCTGCTTAAGTAGCTCTTACAGAGATGTAATCCTAACAAACTCAAAGAGATAAGATCTAATAAAAAATTCTAAATCAAAACCAACTATATTACTATTCCTCTTAAGGTTGTTGCTGCCGTGGCCTGTTGCACCGTCTTTCGTACCTAAGTCCCCTCATGACAGCAGATCTTCTGGTTTTGCCATCCTCTTTGCTCTAATCTATTCGCCGTCCAAACTCTATTCTGGGAAATAAGCCAAGAGAAGAATTTACATTTCGGCAGCGCCCACTCTTTCTAGATCAATTGATTGAAAGCGGATCTCGCCGCCCCGAGGAATTGGAGTCTGTAGGCCGATCTTGCCAAGTATTGCCTGTTTGCTGTTAGGTTCAACCATACGCCGTCTTGTTCATCATTCAGCTGGTTCATTCTTCTGATCATTGACCATAAATGCACAAATTGTTGGATATGTTCCACCGTTGTGATTCGGAGAATGTCAATGTCCCGTATCCAATTACTCTCTTGAATGTTAATGTCCAGTGCCCACAGGTGCATCGGCACGCCGTCGAGACAGAGCTTGACTCTGTACATGAGGGCCGAGCCGGTGGCATTTTTCAAGCTACAACATTGGATGAAGTGGACCTCGATCCCGTGGCCTTTAGCGAAGCCCTGCTTCACCGTCTCCTCGCAATGGCGGCGGTGCTTGTACTTGAGGAGGAAAGCCTCCGGGAAGTGCAGCGACACCGTCAGCTCGCTGATGCATAGACCGAACTCATAGGCAATAGCACACTCGACGTCCTTTGCCGTGACCGACGGCGGGGCGCGCATCGCCCAGGTGACAACAACTGTACTTTCCATTTCGCGTAGCTCCCCATCAATGATGTGTGACGTCGAGATGAAGACGACGCCCTCCACTGGCCTTGTTTTCAGATCTCCAAGTTGCGCCATAACGCCCGTGGCCTATAGCAGAGGCGGAAGGGACTCAGGCCCTTGTTGGCGGTGTGTTAGTGGCAAGGGCGATGGAACCGACGCGACTAGATAACCTGGCTCAGGCAGCTTGAAGGCACGATGTGGCATCGTACGCCTAGAGGAGACGTTATCCATCCCCTTGCTCTCGGCTCATAGGCGTGCCAGTAGGCGTCGCGTCATGGCGACGGCATGGTAATTGCACACTTCAATTTTGGGAGCAGCGGTGGTTGAGCAATTTTCGAATTGAAATCGGCGACGGGGGAGCCTCGCAAGCGACAAAAGGGGTCGTGGCAGCGGTGGCTTCGGGGTCGCAGAGACGTGGGTGACACTAGCCATCGGTCGGGGCGCTCCAGATCTAGGTGGTGGAGGAGGCGGCGAGTCCTCCCAAAACTTACCGTGGCTTGGGTTCACCGTGTTGGCTGATGGGGAGGCGGTCGGTGGCCAGAAGCAGCGGAGGGAGGCGCCTAGGGCTGTGGGTGGCGGAGGAGAGTGGGTGCCATTGGCTAGGGCGCCGACGACGGTTGGGGTGGAGCACACTGCAGCATTTCAAAACGTTGTACCATACTCTGCACCTCACAATTTCGAACTAAGAACTTACATTTTGGCTCGTGGTACTGCAAAGCCTCTTGTTGTTAGGTCAGCTTCCAACGAAGACATTTTGTGCATTTAACTCCACGTGTCCATCGAACTGTTTGAAGAAACAAGGGCATTTCTTCCTTTAGAATATAGTAAAAGCCAATAATTCTGGAAGATGTATATGCCAGGTGTGAAAGCCAAATATGGCATCTCAGTCACAGTCCTTACCTGACGAGTTAACTTTAGTTGTCACCATCTTCAACAATTCCTGGGCCGTGGGGCCCACTCTTCAGTCACATAGGCTGCCATAAGCTCACCAGTCACTGCCTCTACGGAACTGCTGTATATATACGCACTCATCAAATGGAATAAAGAGGACTGCAGGAGAAAAATATTTCTTGTGCTTTCACTAGTAAATAAAGAACCACTTGTGGGTAAGAAGATCAATTTTGAACATACAGTAAAAACAAATGATGTCAATATGCCAATTTACCAAGGAAGTTTGTTTAGTGTAGTACAAGTTTGTTGATAAAATTTGTGTAGCATGGCATAGTGTTAAAGGAGAATTGCTCTAATAGCACCACTTCTTTTTGTTAGTTACTCCTATGTTTTTCATAACACTTAATTCAACCACAGCATAACAAACTCAATTCATCAACACGATAGATATATGGTTGCATTGAACTTGGTACTAACAAGACATATATCAAACCATGTAGCTAGATTCTACCAAAATACTAGATAACAACAAAAGCAAAGATGAACAGAGGTGGACTGTTCTCCTTACAAATTTATTGCAAAAAAAAAAGTAGATTCTCTATGGAGAGGCATATTTAACGTTATAGCAGGGCTATAATAAGAAACAGATGGCTCAAAGAAAATGATAAGCAACAAATAACCCATAAAGGACCCATGTCATATATAGATAGGCCTTGCAAACAAACAAAAAAAAGGTATGCAAGGAAATAATAGTTCCTTCAGCAGTTGAGAAATCATATAACAGAAGAAAAAAAACACATTGGTAATAATTTGACTTCTCCACTAGAATAGATATTTTTGGATGAGGGAGGCCGGCAAAGAAACTATTTAGTGACATGGCAGGCCGCTTTGGAACTTTTCTCATGTATCTGCACTGGCTACCTCACACCGGAGGTTCGTAAAGGCGGAACGGCTAAGGGGGAGTGCCAATGACTGGCACAAAACCGCATGCTTTGGAATCCCAGAGAACCCAACCCTCCCTTTCTCTTTTGCAAAAGAATGTGCATAAAGAGAGAGAGGCAGCATCTTTCCTCTGCTCTTTTTTGTTTTTCCCTTTATTTGTACATCATCACAGTGGCTTCCAATTCTCCCCCTTTGGGCTTAGTTCCATCTAAGAGATGTCCATTGAATTGTTTAGGGACAATCCTAGGAATGCATATGGGAGGATTCTATTGATCCCTGTAAAATCTCTTTAGGGACAGTCCTAAGTTAAAATGGAACATGATTACGACAAAAGAGAATCAGTGTACTCATCACTAAAATGCAAAGCTTTTTTGCGCAAAAGCGCGATTGCTTTGGCTTAAAAGGTATTGACATCAGTTCAGGTTAGATACTTAGATTTAGCTCAAGGGCGCCAATTCTCCATAGGACCCGCCAAAGTGCACAAAATCTTTATCTGAAAACGACCCCTCCATTGAGGATTGGCATCAGGGGGTGAGAAGAGAAACGCTGAAGCAGCAAACATCCAAAGGCAACCACAAGACAGGCATTGCAGCCGCCGCTCGCCCCCCCCCCCCCCCCCCCCGGGGATCGCGCCAAGTGTCAATCGCTGGATTCGACTTGACACCCCCTTACTATTAGTATACTCTACACTCAAACTCCCCAGGACAAAAACACCGTGACTTTCCCCTCCCTAGCTCCTTCCAAAAAACACTCACAAAATTCCACAAGAGCCATGCGAGGTAGAGGAACAGGAGAAGACGCATACACACACGACACATAGAGAGAGAGGACAAACACAATAGCTTGGATCGATAGACTTGTCCATGTGGTGCAAGCTAAAGCTACTACTACCACAAGCAAGGCTACTTCGTTCATGAATTATAATTTTGGTGGCAACGTGTTCGACCAGGAGGTTGGAGTTGGAGGCGAAGGAGGAGGAGGAGGAGAGGGGAGCGGCTGCCCATGGGCGCGGCCGTGCGACGGGTGCCGCGCGGCGCCGAGCGTGGTGTACTGCCGCGCGGACGCGGCGTACCTGTGCGCGTCGTGCGACGCGCGGGTGCACGCGGCCAACCGCGTGGCGTCCCGCCACGAGCGCGTGCGGGTGTGCGAGGCCTGCGAGCGCGCCCCGGCCGCGCTCGCGTGCCGCGCCGACGCCGCCGCGCTGTGCGTGGCGTGCGACGTGCAGGTGCACTCCGCGAACCCGCTCCCGGCCATCACCATCCCGGCCACCTCCGTCCTCGCTGAGGCGGTGGTGGCCACCGCCACCGTCCTCGGCGACAAGGACGAGGAGGTGGACTCTTGGCTTCTCCTCTCCAAAGATTCCGACAACAACAACAACAATAACAACAACAACGACAACGACAATAACGACAACAACAACAGCAACAGCAGCAACAACGGCATGTATTTTGGTGAAGTCGATGAGTACTTTGATCTTGTCGGGTACAATTCGTACTACGACAACCGCATCGAAAACAACCAAGATCGGCAGTATGGGATGCATGAACAGCAAGAGCAGCAGCAGCAGCAGCAGGAGATGCAAAAGGAGTTTGCAGAGAAGGAAGGGAGCGAGTGTGTGGTACCTTCACAGATCACAATGCTGAGTGAGCAGCAGCATAGTGGTTATGGAGTTGTGGGAGCAGACCAGGCCGCCTCCATGACCGCCGGCGTCAGTGCTTACACAGATTCCATCAGCAACAGCGTGAGTTCATCTATTACTAGCTGCAACTATTTTTTTTTCAGAGAATGAACATCTATTACTGTTGTTAGTTAGTTGTTACTACATGCCACGTTGTCAATGTTTTAGAGTTCATACTAGTACTTTTGAGTGGAAAAACATTCTCCAAACAAAAGCTACTGTCTAACAAAATGAAGGGATAAATAAACAGATCTCAACAAGAAAACAAAGATACTTTTCTACTTCCAAGCTGCGATCTTTAGGCTGATTAAATGGAACCGATAAAAAAAATACTTTAAAGAAAAGTACACAATTGATCTTTAGGCAGACCAGTTGACTACTTCCTGTATTTCTAAGCATATACGATCCATGCTAACTCACTAATTGAAAAGAAGTGAGTTTGTTAACCTTTTATGTACACAGCAATCACCACACGAAAGACCTCATGAAAAGTAGGATAAGTGTAAGTGTAATTCATATTTTATCCCAGTGCATAAATTTAAAATATCTTACTTTTGCGACAGTAAAAAAGATATTGGAAGTTTTTCTTATGTATGTAAAATTAAATTAAGCCCATCTATATATCATTGCAGGGTCTCTGACACCTGCAATCTCCTTATGATTCGCATATTTCAGTGACCATTTGCCGATTCCATCTCAGATATCTTTCTCATCAATGGAGGCGGGTATAGTACCAGACAGCACGGTGATAGATATGCCAAATTCCAGAATCCTGACACCTGCTGGAGCAATCAATCTCTTCTCAGGTCCCTCGCTTCAGATGTCCCTTCACTTCAGCTCCATGGACAGGGAGGCCAGGGTGCTCAGGTACAGGGAGAAGAAGAAGGCCAGGAAGTTTGAGAAGACAATACGTTATGAAACAAGAAAGGCGTATGCAGAGGCACGACCCCGGATCAAGGGCCGTTTCGCCAAGAGATCAGATGTGCAGATCGAAGTGGACCAGATGTTCTCCACTGCAGCTCTATCTGACGGTAGCTATGGTACTGTTCCATGGTTCTGATGGGACTCATGAGACGCTATCTTATAGGCATATATATGGGGACTTACTGAGTAGCAATAACATCGATCCAGTGGGAGTAGTTCTAGACAATCTGTGTTATGAATAATAGTGTGTTGTTTGCGACTTAAAATTGATCAAGTACCTTAGCTTTTTAAAGTTTTGCTTTGTAATTTCCGGATAGCAGATATATATTGTTGGTACTTGCTCAGTAGCTTTAAGTTTTTGAAGTAAGCAAAGAGCAGTGATGAGATGAAATGAGTATGTGTATAACTGTATATAGATAATTCTAGGGTACCTTGGCCAACAATCACAGTAGCAACAATGCTTTAGGGGTTTAGGTGACGAATTGGGGGTTTAGTTGTTTACTATGAAGTAGCACCAAAATGGTGGAACATATATATTCCTATTTTCGTTCCATCATGACATATAACTGCTGTCTAACCAGCCTATGTTGACTGAAAACAAAGCTCGTTTCATTACAAAATAAAAGATGGAACCCTGATTAAGTGTGTCCACTGGCCAGATAGTATCATAGTAGTATAATAATGAACTGGAGTTCAAGTCTTTTATATTCCACTTGGATCTCGGTGCCATTTTCTTAATGATGTATCTTAGTGATGGGCTATCATTGTATCCGGTTGGAATTTCAGCAGAGGTGAAGGTGATGGTGTTCACTCAGCTTTTAAATATCCATTATTCTTACAGCCCTCCAGATCATTCTGGATGAAAAGAAAAGCAGTGACAAAGAATTTACTGTTGCTTTAACCATGAGAATCATATCTTTCCAGCACGGCCTATCTTCTCACTAAACCATGAGCTATCGGTGATCAGTAACTCGAATGATAGTTGTAGGGAATATAGGAACATTGCCTGATACTGATAGGTACACCATTGTGGTTGGGTGATATAAGTACAACAAACTCACAGAAAAGTTTCCCTATTATTTTGTGAATCAAGAGAGCATAAATAAGGAAGCTCTTTCTCATTCTCAGTGCATTCCTCTTCCCTTTCACTAGCAACTAGTGGCATGGATCTTATTGCCTTTTGTTTTGAGATGGAGCATTCACCAAATATCTAAGGCATCTCAGGGCACCAACCGCATATACAGGAATACAGGATACATCTAATCGTTTTTGGCTAAGCTTGACTGTATCGGTTAGATATTGCACAAAAAACAGAGTTAGGAATTAAGCCCTAAGAGATGGTAATTGGAAACTGGAAAGTGAACTTTTCATTTCAAATATCAACAAAGAGAGGTCAAAAAAGTAAAGTGAAATAAAGCACACGGGAGATACAGATCCATATTTTGACCGAAACTGACGACATATACCACTCTAGTATGGATAGAGAGAACAAATCAAAGTTCTGCAGAAGATAAAACTAGACATAGTTGACTAGTAACAGAAGAGATTCCTGAACTTTCTCACTGAAACTATCAAGCAAATAGATAAAACTCGTGGTGATATTTCATCCACATCAGCACTGAGAACAGAACAGCAAGCAAGCAGTTTGATTGTGATGGAGGGAGCTCCTAGCACATCATCATATTATGAAGTAATATTTAATAATCATGGAAGTATGATGAAGGTATTTTTCTGGCAACAGTTCTTGTTTGATGCATCAGAATACCTGATTAACGTGGAATTAATCAAGCATCAGAATCCATTTTTGTACTTACTGAATGTAACAAAATAATATAGCTACATCCTTTTAATTAGGCAGATGAAATGATTTAGAAGAATAATAGTTTTTTTTTCGAGGAATCGAAGAATTAATAAATTTAGGCTTATATTATCCATAAAAGATCACATAAAGGCTTTAGGGGTAAATCTTGAGCAATACTAGATAAAGGAGGGAAATGGTAAAACAGTAAACACCATTGTCCTAGAGGTGAATCGGATAATTTCCTCTTCAATTCTACAATCTACAACCCATAATACCATTGCATTTTCTGGGGGAGGGGAAAGAATCAAGTCACGGCGTTTGTACTTAACCTTTGCCCATGCCCAGTTGTCCATTGCTATCCGTACCACAACATGCCCAAATTGATAGGATCAAACGAACAAGGACACAGTATCTCGGTAGATATTTGGATAAGAAAATGAAGGTTTTCTTTTCTTTTGCGAGGATGAGAAATGAGGATTCGACCGGTGGAGACACTTGTTTGTTTGGTAAAGGGGATTGGATTCAGCAAGGAACAGAGTAGTAACTAAATGTCTAAATCCCAATCCAGTCCCCCCATATTCAAATACTAGAACACACACTAATTTCAGGTGTTCTCCTTACACTTGTTCGAAACGCGTGAATTTTTCAGCAAAAGAAATACTACTCGCTCTTTCCATACGGGTTTCCTAACCAAATTTTCCACGATGTTCTAAATTGGGGCGCCCTTACTGTACATAATAAAGATTAAAAAAAGAAATTCTCCACTCCACCTTGAATTTGAACCTAACCCTTACGCAACAAAAATGTAGCGGCGGAAACCTAATACCTAGGGAGAGCGGAAACGCGAGATGGCGAGATGTTCGTTCTTTTCCTCGGTCGGAACCAACGATGTAAAAGGCGCGGGCCGGGTTGGGGGCGGGGGGGGGGGGGGGGGGGGGGCGCTGCGGCGTACCTCTTCTCCGGCGCGGACGAAGAAGCGATCGAGGAGCGGCGCGGCGGAGAGCGGAGACGCGCGTGAGCCACCTCGAACACCAAGCCGCCGGCGAGCGGACTGTCCGCCGGCCGCAATTTGACCGCATTGCCGCACCACACGTCGGATCGGCGGCGATATTTCACATCGTTATGGACGCCGCCCGCTAGGGGTGAAAAACGGTCGAAAACGTCGGGATCAGTAGCATGAAACGACGATCATTTAAACTACTCCCTCCGTCATTAAAAAATATTTAGAACTGGATACGATATATTCTAATACAATGAATTTAGATGGAGGTATATCTAATTTTATAATTTTATAGGACGGAGGGAGTTCTCATCGGTATCAAAAGGTACCAATACTAAGCAGAAAGAAAAATAAAAAAAATTAAATTTATACTCCGTGACCACTTTATATAAAAATGATGAGAGATGGAAATGATAACTTTTATATAGAAATGGCTCTCGATCCACGGGGAAATTCCGTGACCATTTTCACCCTTACGAGGAATGCGGCTACGTCCTGAAATGCAAAGTACTAGGGAAATTTTATGTTCTTTTTGACCTGTTTCCTAGAGCTCTAACCCCTAAACCTAATTCCATGAGCCTCAAATTTAACAGTTTGCCACTCTTACGGATAGCCACTCTTCAAATGTCATTCTTCTAGACGTATTTAATTTTTTTTCCACTGTAACAATTTGAAATATCTCTTTTGCCCGTCCGATCACCTTCTTCTCTCTCCCCTCTCTCCTAGAGAAAGATAAGTTGGACGACAGCATAGCTCGGTGCCGACAGAGGTGGAGCTCAGGACCCACAATGGTGGCAGTGGTGGAGTGGGGGCCCTTCCTATCACTGCTCCAATCTCATTGCCCTTTCCTTTCGCAAACTTAATGTTGGTATTTCTTACAATCACATATAAATTCGTAAGCGCATGAATACTGCTGTAACATTTCATCCAGGAGTATTCCAAATGTATCGTATTTATATTTCTATAGGGAAGACGACGAAGATTCATCTAATAATGGTACACTAGGCAGTGGAGAAGAATTATAGAAAGCTAAGATTCATATATTCTTCTATATTGCTAATGTTTACTGTACACTTAGCACATACATGTTTACAATGCTAGGACTTAGTTCTATATACCCAGATACTACCGAGAGACCACTCCCTGTTGGTCCGCCAGTATGGTTATGACATTTTACGAACTCTTTCATCATACCAGACTTGGAGGAGTATAAAGGACAGACAGGGCTGTCACCACCTACCGCCTATCTCATTTTCTGTGGGACATACCCGCATCCAACTACATTTAACTAACCTAAGCATCATACTTATGTTAATAAATAATATCACTAATTCCCCTTTGAAACCCTTCGGATGAACAAGTTAGAACTAGTGCAGCCCATTAAGATCATTAGATCGTTATCGTAACGTAAATCGACTAGTCTAATCAAGTGAATTTGTATTAATGAAGTATAATCTATTTCTGGAACACATAACTAGTGAACTAGTATATAAACTACGAACACAATATAATAAAGGAGATAATTCTTTTATTGCAACTATAGTAAAGTTTGACTAAGTTTATAGAAAAAATTAGGAGTAAATTGCATTGGTAGTACACAAACTTAATAGGTGGGTACAATTTAATACATAAACTTGTAAAATACTCGTTTTGGTACACGAACTTGTCTAGTTTGTGCGAATGAGGACTAAAATAGCTTCACAATGTTAATTTTGCAAAGCTGGTGTTGATTAGGATATGATGTGCATACGTGTAATGAGTATGCATAAGACATGTAATATTTATAAATTTGATCTATACTTTATCCTTCATCACGGAAGTGATGAATTTCATATATTTATAACCCTTATATCATTGCTCGGTTTTTTTTTATCATTTTCTACGATCACCATATCCCATTCTATTTTTATTGAAGATGTGTTTATCTAATAGCAACCTTATTAGATATATGTTTACATAGTATTCTGATGAGCCCCTAAGTCAGTAAGATTAGCCATGTTATTTCCTTTTCGCCTTCCTCCGCACGCACCAGACAAGTTTATGCACCAAAACGAGCATTTTACAAGTTCGTGTACTAGATTGCACCCACCTACCAAGTTCGTGTATCGGCGATGCAATTTACTAAAAAATTAGCAACATCTCAATTATCAAATTAGTTAAACTAAATCTAGCATTGAATATAGTTTGATAATAAGTTTGTTTTGTGTTAAAAATGCTACTAGATTTTTCTATAAATTTAGTCAAACTTAAATAAGTTTGACTAGGAAAAAAAGTCAAAACGTCTTATAGTATGAAACGGAGGAAGTCCTATATAGTCGATTTGTGATTTGTGTGTGTGTGTTTTATGTGTATGATTTTTTTATTTAGAACTTATCAGGGAGGGAGTATATATTTTACAAAAATACTTATAAACACTAATTTCATATTATGAAAGTGTATTGCATAAGTTTACTAAAAATTTCCTAGTTCTGTTGGAGTGTTTATCCTGGAGAAAAAATGGTGACGTTCTTTTCCAATGAATTGAACATAAAGGTAGAATATGGAAAACAAAAAAAATGCTATTAGCACATAATTTATTAAATTTAATTAT